GAGAGGACCGAGGCTCAGAAGGGTCCCCAACGTGCCCAAGTTCCCCCAGCCGGCAGTGGCCAGGCCGGGGCTTGAGCTAAGGCAGGCTCGCTCCAGAGTCCCTCCCTCGTCCTCCGCCGCTGTCACACAGAAGATGCTCCTTGTACTGGTCTCTTTTAAGACCTGAAGCAAATATGGCAAAAATGTGGAGATAAGCCACAGGTGAGTGACCTGCTCTGCTCCTGCGGGCTTTTGTTTTCATTTCAGGAATGCCTGGGGCAGTCAGATTCCAAGCGATAAAAAAGAGTGATAAAGAGAGGAACACGGGCAGGCGGGCGCGGGGGGCTGGTTTCCCCTCCGGCTCCTCCGCCAGAAAGAGCCAGGACAAGGCTGTCACAAGACTGCCACCACCCCACCTGGAATGCCAGGTGCACCGCCCTGGCGTGGAGGGCGGCACAGCCCCCTGGGTTCCTGGGGCCACATCCGCAGGAGGCGCCAGGATCCTCCTGCACAACTTCTGATCCCAGTGGTGACATCCAGGCTCGCGCACGGGGGCAGGGAACCGACCCACACCGGGATGAGGTGTTGGGGGCCTGAACGCCCCGATTTGTGCGCCACAACACAAGTAAACATCACCTTTATAAACTAACAAACAGCCCCGGCTGGTGTGGCGCAGTAGATTGAGGTCCAGCCTGCAAACCAAAGGGCTGCCAGTTCAATTCCCAGTCAGGGCACAGGCCTGGGTTGAGGGCCAGGTCCCCCCCCACCCCCTGTAGGGGGCACACAAGAGGCAACCACACATTGATGTTTCTCTCCCTCTCTTTCTCCCTTTCCCTTCTTTCTAGAGATAAATAAGTAAAACCTTAAAACAACAACACATAAGTCACCACCATGAAGCAATGGGTGTGGGGCGGGGGAGGAACAGTGAGGTCCAAAGAGCAGCGACTTGTTGGCAGCTGTTAAAGCTGGGCGGCAGGCAGCTGGGGACTTCAGCACACGGTCTAGTTACTTTGTGTGTTTTTGAGACTTTCCATAGTAAAGCAAATGCTATGTCAATGTTTAGCAGGCCTGGGCTCCTCTGAGATTTGGGCGCCCAGAGTGGCATCTGTCTCCCACTGAGTCCATGCAGAGAGGTCCAGCGTGGGGTGCCAGTTCTGGGGTTGGAGTCTGGGGGCAGGGATAGTTCAAGTCCCTGCTCCCCCACGCACGGGCTGGGTGACCTAGGGCCACTGACTGCACCTCTCTGGGCCTCAATGCCACCATCTGTAAAATGGCAGGACCCCAAGCTGCCCCTCTCCCACCGTGGTGGAGGGCGGGGCTCTCAGCACAGACGTTGGTAGGGATGCTATTGGTCTGGATATTTCGTGAGTGCCACTAAATGAGAACAGGTCAGAGGTGCAGAGGCCTCCAGCTTCTGCCCCCAGTCTCCCCTGCACGTGGTCTCCGGCTGACTTCAGGCCCCACCCTGCATCCAGGCTGCCAGAAAGCAGGAGGGGGGCCAGAGCTGCTGCATTTTTAACAAACGGCCAAGACTCAGAGCAGCCGGCTTCTACAAGGCTGCTGTGCGCGCATCGCCGGCCCCATGCCCTCCCTGAGCTTTCTGCCAGAGAGCCGGGTCGGGTGTTGCGTGGGTGAGAGGAGGCCTGGGTTCCCGCCCCGGCACGCCCACTCACCGGCTGCGGGCCCAAGGACAAGCTCCGCAGCCCGCCCTTGCCTTCAGCCCCCTCTAGAAAATGCAGACAACATCACATCCCCCCGTGAGACTGTTTTACGTGAACACCGTTACACCTCCCGCGTTTTGTAAGTGACACACACAAGTTACACAGGCACCCCTCGGAGATACTGCAGTGAAGTGCGGCAATAAAGCATGTGCGGCGCAGTCTTTTTGCTCTCTCGGCTTCAATTTGTAACAAAAAACGCAGTATCTGGGAGGTGCAATACAAAGCGGTATGTCCGTAATTGTTTTTAATTATGGACACTGTAAATATGATGCACTCTGGCCACGCCCGCAGCTTTCTGGCCACAGAGGTCCCAGGCCCCAGGTTTGCTACCTGGAGGGTTTATATGTCAAACACTTCACCCACGAGTGAGGCACATAGTCTGACAGAAACCGCTGGGCACCAAGTCTCGAATCCATCCAAACCCTCCATTACCCCCATTTCTCAGATGGGATCATCGAGGCTAAACGGAGCAGTTACAGGGAAAGTAGGGGTCACGCAGACGAAAGAAATGTGCCTGCCACCCACATGTCCAGGGCTCAGCAGGTGTCCCTTAGCTCTCAGCCAGCAGGCAGAGGGAGCTTCTAAGCACACAAATGAACCCAACTGTTGGAAAAGAGAATTTGAGGTGCCTGGATATTTGATGATGCTGAGGAATTGGGATTAAGATTCTAGGTGTAGCCCTGGCTGGGTGGCTCAGCTGGTTGGAGCGCTGTTCTGTACACCAAAGGGTCGCTGGTTTGATTCTGAGTCAGGGCACATGCCTGGGCCGTGGGCTAGGTCCCCACTCAGTAGGGGTGAGTGAGAGGCAACCATACATTGATGCTTCTTTCCCCTTCCTTCTCCCTCACTTCCCCTCTCTCAAAAAATAAATGCATAAAATCTTTTTAAAAAGAAAAAGGAAAAACCCACAGACACCACCTGCCACCCATTCGGATGGCCACTATCCATGAACAGAAAATCCTGACACTGGCGAGGGCAAGGACGAGAGATTGGAGCCTTTGCGCACTGTCGGTAGGAACGCGAAATGGTGCAGCTGCCGTGCAGAACAGCCTGGCGGTTCCTCAAAAATTTAAAAATAGAACCAGCACATGATCCAGTGATTCCACTTCGGGGTGTCCACCCGAAAGGCCTGGAGACAGGGTCTCGAAGAGACGCGCTTCCACCATGTCCACGGCGGCTTCTTCCCAACAGGCAAGGCGCAGAGACAGCCTGAGCGCCGGTCCAGCCGCAGGAGGATGGAGACTGGAGTGCGCGCGAGCAAAGGACGCAGTGCTGCTGGGGAAGGAGATCCGCACGCGGGCTCAACACGGGGGACCCTTGAGGACGCTGCTAAGCGAGACGGGCCAGTTACAGAGAGACAAATGCTGTGCGATTCTACTTCTGAGGTCCACACACAGGGAGAGGAAGTAGAATGGAGCCTGTCAGGGGCCTGGCCGGGAACGGGGCTTGGGGAGGCACTTTCACGGGTGCGGTTTCGGTTCTGCAAGATGCAAAGGGCGCTGCGGCTGGACGGCGGTGACGGTTGCACAACCACGCTGACTGTCCTCCGTGCCAATGAACGGCGCATGGAAAACTGCCTGACGCAGTAAACTTTATGTTCTGGGTGTTGCGCCACAATTTTAAAATGGAGAAAATGGACAATTAAAAACATCAGAGTTTTAAATACAGATACTTATATGAAAAATTCAGTGAAACAGCATTGAGTTCCTTCACGTGAGTGACCTATCAGGGGCTCAGTCACAGTCACGTGGGGCTGCAGCAGGGGAGGGCGCAGGTGAAGAACGCGTCCATCAGGGCAGAAAGCTGCCTACACAGCGCCGGTCAGGAGGAATGGTGGGAAAGGTCAGGAGGGACGGTGGGAAAGCCCGGGCCAGCCTCGCTCAGCTGGCCGGACTCCTCCCACAAAGAAAAAGGTCTCCGGTTCAATTCCAAGTCAGGGCACATGCCTAGGTTGCAGGTTCAGTCCCTGGTCAGGGCAAAAGGCAGCCAAGTGACGTTTCTCTCCCTCTCTTGAAAGAAGGAAAGAAAGGAAGAAAGAAAAGAAAGAAAGCCCTGGCTGGTGTGGCTCAGTGGATTGAGCTCCAGCTTGCAAACTGAAGGGTTGCCGGTTCAATTCCCAGTCAGGGCACAGGCCTGGGTTGCCCGCCAGGTCCCTAGCAGGGGGTGCATGAGAGGCAACCACGTATTGATGTTTCCCTCTCTCCTTCCCTTCCCCTCTCTAAAAATAAATAAAGTCTTAATTTTTTTTCTCATAGTGCAACACTTTTAACTACAAAAGTACTTTAATATCAACTATCACACGTCTGTGTATTTGGTTGTTTATTGTTTGCCTGCTGCACAGGAAATATTTATTAAGTGAATCTGCGGAAGTAAAACAAACCCATTCATTCATTCCAGGAGCAGCCTGGTGGAAAAGGCAGGTATGAAGCACCCACTGTGTGTCCAGCACACATAGCTGAGGATGCCGTAATGACGCCGCCCTTGGCCTTGGGGAGCACTCCCAGGGGTTCTCAACCAGGGCCGGTATTAGATGCCCCTCACCTCGGAACACACTCAAAAGCTTCCGCAAAAGAGACTCGCAGGGGTGACAATTAGAGTGCAAAGTTGCCGACCCAAAATTGCTCATGGGAACAGAGGCTTTTAAGAGCCACCGTGTGGCTCCTGTCCTGCATCCCAGAAGGGAGCGGACACACAGAGCAGCCACCCTCCCAAGGGCGCATGCGCGAGTGGGAGCGCGCTCTCCCTGCGGTAACGCCCCTGAGATCTGAGGCTCGCTTGTTCCTACACGCGGCTCAGCCAAAGCTGACAGATGCACCTTGCAAAGCTGGCTCGGCCCCGCGCTGCCTCAGTCTTGGGCCTTGCGCCAACTCCATGCCCACTGATCCCTCTGGGGCCCCGAGGAGCCCGAAAGGACGCTGACTCACGTTTCACAGCTCAGGACACAGAGGGGTCAGGACGCTTGCCTCAAACCCCACCATGGGTCAGAATTTGAACTCAGACCCCGTGACTCTGAAGAACCTCATTCCTCACCATCTGCTAGAAAAATCAGGGAAAGCCAGGCCTGGAAACCATACGCAGCTCAAGAGAACAGCCGTGACGCATCAATGACAAAGTGTCCTTCCAGAAACTCGTGTGAATTCCTCCGGCACTTGTAATGCGATCGGAGTTCTGCGTTGTCATCGGGAGCTGTACAGAAGCCAGACAGCTTAGCGGGGTACGCATTCAAAGGCCCCGGTTCACACCAGGCACAGGCGAATGTTAATTTCCCAGGACAAACTTCAGTAACCCCGGGGTTACTTGCAAGTCATACAAATGAAAGTTGACGGAACTCTGTCGCTGCCTGACGGGACACCGCAGGACAAGAAGGTAAGCGGCAAAAGTCGGGCTGCGGCTTTGCCCAACACGGGTTCCCCAGCCCTCCCCCTCCTCCTCCTCCTCCCAGAAGCCTTGCCAATTCCAAGATGTAAACCATGACAGTTCTGAGTCAGTCTTTCTCAAACAATGGGACACGTCTTTGAGGGTTGTGAAATCCAATGAGCAGGTTGTGAGCAGGATTTTTTTTTTTCCCAATGAAATGGTGCAGAGTATAAAGCAGAATGGGGCAGGATAGAAAAGATTAAAAGGCACCCCAGATGTTAAGCATTAAGTATCTGTTTGTGACACTGGTTTCATTTGTGTTTGTTTGTCTGGGTGCATATTTCCTACCATGGCCGAAACACCTTGCCTATCCCCCTTACCAGTCATTCACTTCCCCAGGCTTCCTCGCAGCTAGATTAGCCATAGTTTTCTGCCAAGAGTATCAGCCAAAGTGTATACAGTTGGGTGCAGCTCAGTGAGACTTTCGGGTAAGACTGTCACAGACTTTGGGAAAGGTTCTCTGAATGTAAAAACAGAACAGTTCCTCTCTCTCTAGAGACAGAACATCTTTTGCTCCACGCTCCCAGCTTGGAATACAGTTGAGACAACTGGGGCTGCGGCAGCTATTTTACGACCATGGGACAACAAACTTGAAGCTGATAGGGTCCTCTGCCAAGGATGACTGTTGAAAGGAGAGGAAAAGGCTGGGTTCTTAACAGCTCCTCACAGGCTGCCTGCCTCCAGACTTCCTAATCCCGACAGCTTAAGCCCCTATTAGGTTTTCCTTTATTTGCAGTCAGGCACAACCTGACATAAATGAGCTTGCACTTCTGATGACTTTGTAACTCATCACAAGGACTCTGATAGCTTTCCATAGGTGAGGGACTAGCCTCTGTGAACCCACTGGGAAGAGAGGCCCGGACAAATGAGAGGGGGCTACTGGGAGGGGAGCTGCAGAAACACGACCGTGGGGATTGCCAAAGTGGCCAGAAACACGCATGCTCCCTAGTCCCACGCTCTGTGGCTCCTCCAAGCCCAGAGATGGGGTCTGTTACCCAACCACTCAACTTGGGCTGGCCTTTTGACACACCTTGGCCAACCATGTGGCAGAAGTGACAGCGTGTATTCTCAGGCGGTGCCTAAAGACACCTGGCACACCTTCTCTCTCTGCCCACTGCTGTGTGAAGAAGGCCAGGAGTCCCCTCCATCATCACGGCTCACAGCCAGCCAAGCACCAGAGGCAGAGCGGCCTCTCTGACCTCCAGCTGACCACAGACACCCAGGTAGGACCCAAAGCACCCGGCTGCGCCCAGTCCAAATTCCATCCGTCAAGATGACAGTTTTGTTTTCAGCCACTAGGGTGCAGTCCAAAGGTGGCTGTGACAATGTCTCCGTTCCCCAGTGCGATCTTGCCACTCCCCTTGAATAGAGGGAAAAGTGTGTGACTAGACTACTTCAGCAGGGACGGGGCGACAGAACTGCCACTGTGTGACTTTTGAGGCCAGGTCACTAAAGGCAATTTAGTTTCTGCTTTGTCCGCTGGGACGTTGAACCCGAAAGCTTGATCGGAAAGCCGCCTGCCTACTCTGAGGCCACCACGCTAGGGGGACGTCAAAGCCAAAGCCAGGACCCGAACAGGCCACCAGCAGGCACTGTGGATGACGTTCGTATCCTCAGTCAGTGCAGCCGGTGCTGAGCACGTGTGTGGACAAGCCTTCTGCCCCTTGGCTCTGAGTCTTCCTGGCCCGGGCCCCAGACATCAGGAGCAGAGATCCACTGAGTCAAATGCCATGTGAAATTTTTTAAAAAGATTTTATGTATTTCTTTTTAGAGAGAGAGGAAGGGAGGGAGAAAGAGAGGGAAAGAAACATCAGTGTGTGGTTGCCTTTCGTGCACCTCCTGCTGGGGACCTGGCCCACAAACCCAGGCACATGTCCCAACTGGGAATGGAACCTGAGACCCTTTGGTTTGCCGGCCTGCGCTCAATCCACTGAGCCACACCAGCCAGGGCCATGTGAAATTCTTGACCCATGAAACCCATGAGCACAATTACTACACTTGGGGGTAACATGTTAGCAGCAGCAGCAGACACAGCCCTCCGCAGACCAAGGGCCCGGCGCTGCGCAGAAAGAGATGCGCCAGCTGGCTCCTTACAGTGGCTGGGCCATGGGGGGCGGGGGGCGGGTGGCAGGGGGGGTCTCAGGCAGTCAGGAGCAGTCAGGCAGGGTGTTGGGGGCTTAAAGCAACACTTATTTAGCCGTCAGTAGGGAAGTGCTCGAGTATTTGGACAGTGGGTGTGGCAGGGCGAGCAAGGAGTGTAACCCAGGCTGGGTGGGTGGATACAGGAGGAGAGGAAGGGTGAGGCCTAGGTCTGCACAGAGAGGAGAACAGTGGTCCTGGGCAGAGAGACTGGGGAAGTGGGAGGGGAAAGACTGGGTGAGTCCAGGTGTGAGGTCAAGGTTGGCCCTCGGTCTCTAGAGGGCTGTACCTGCAGCTGCTCCAGCACAACCCCCCCACCCCCATTCAGAGGCCCTGCTGAGTGACTTTAGTTTGCAGCAGAGGCAACATTTAAAATTCACAAGGATTTTCCCCACACAACACTACTGAGGGCCATCCCAGGCGACCCTCTCCCCTCTTGCCCCTCCCTCCCCCATGTCCGAAAAAATCAAAATCTTTACAAAAATAAATAACAATAAAATTCATGCGAATTTTAAATACTGCCTCCACTGCATGCATCCATTCACCCACAAATTCGCAGAGGTCACTCAGCACCTCCTGTATTCCTGCCCCATGCTGAGCGCCAAGACTCCAGTGGGCAAACACGGCCGTACCTTCCCGGAGCTGAAGTCCGCCAGCAAGAACATCAACCACACCTCGCACAAAAGACTGTGCAACGCCCGCCGGGCGCCCTATGGCCTCTGCTCCTCCTCACTGGCCACCGGCTGGCCTGCCCAAGCATAGGGCCAGCCCCTGCTTAGGAGCCCCCGCCAGACAGCTGAAGTTGGGAAGGCCAGGCGTTTGAGGTGGTCCAGGCCTGGGCCCGACACCCTCGGCCCCCATCCCTTCCTGCTTCTCCATCTTCGTCATCACAGCCAAGGCTCTCCCCCGTGCGCCGGTGGCAGGTGCCATTCTAAGTGCTTCTTCCCATTTCATTTCATTCTCATGACAGCCCTGCGTGGATGGTGCCATTTCCTCTCACACCCATTTCACAGAAGAGGAAACCGAGGCAGAGAAAGGTAAGTGGCCCAAGGTCACCAGTTAGCAAACTGGCAGAGCCCAGATTTGAACCCTAGCCCAAAGGCTCCCAAGTCCATGGGAACCCCAGGATGCAGCCAGCCGGGCTAGCTCCCCCACCAAACCCCAACCAGTGACTCTATGGCATCCCGACAGGTCCCCACCACCCGCCAATAACCCACTCAGGCCCTCGGCCCTTACACTGCCCCGAAATGCCACAGAGAAGTCAGTTCATTTCCCGCACATCTCAGCCTCCTGGACAAGTCTGGTGAGGCACCGTGGGCTGGACCCAAAGTACCGCAATGCCTGCAAGCTATGCTCTGCTGATGTATTTATTTCTCAGGCATCTGTGGTCCATCGAATGGTGACCTCCCAAAAAGATATGTCCACGACCCAGAATCTGAATGTGGCCTTCCTTATTTCGGGGAGGAAAAAAAAATCTTAGCAGATATCATTCAGTTAAGGATCTCAAAATGAGATCACCCTAGGTGAGTCTCACATTCAATAACCTTTAAACAGAAGAGAAGGCACAGAGGACAAAGCCTGTGGAGACAGGGGGCAGAAGGAGGGAGCCATGAGCCAAGGACCCCTGGAGCCAACCAGAGCTGGAGAAAAAGGCACCCATTCTTCCCTAGCAACTTCTGCCCTGCTGGCCCCGCCCACAACCGGCTGGCCCCGCCCACGCCTTGATTCGGGACTTCTGCCTGCAAACCTGAGAGGGAATACACTTCTATTATTTTAAGCCACCAGGGCTGTTGTACTTAAGGCAGCCCCAAGACACTGCCGCAGGATGTAAGTGTATGACGTAGGTAGACTCATGTCTCTGCACTGGGCATGTAACAGGCGTAGGACATACAGACCGAGCATCACGCACCATCGCCCAGGCCATTCACTGCACAAAGGACCCCGGACGCGAGCGCACACCCAGCTGAGGTCGTGCGGACTCCAGGGGGACCCAGGTGGAAACCCACGGGGCTCGTGCCCTCCCCGGGGCGGCACCAGGCCAGTTCCGTGCAAAGCCTGGGGGGCCGGAGGGGAGCTGGCTGGGCCTGGGTATGGAGCTGCCAGCCAGCGGGCTGTGTCTATTTCAAAGCCCGAAAAGGAAAGTGTGTGGGGGGGGGGGGAATGTCGATTCCTGGCCCGCTCCCAGCCCTTTAGGGGAAGGAAGAGAATGAGCCATTTGAAGAGCAATGAAAACGCACACCATCTTTCTTCTGAGTGACCTCCAGAGCTCCGGAACCAGGAGTGAGTGGAACAGCGGGAAAGCGTGCCCGTAAAAACGCGGACTGCGAATCAGAGGCCCGAGGTCTACCTCCTGAAAGCCCAGTCACACGCTGGAAATGTCTTGCGCGTTCTCGCTTTTCCCTTTTGGCCATTCGCAGAGATTGGAACGGCGCCTACGAAGCTGCAGGCCTGCCTAGAAAATCAGGAACCTCCAGAGAATTTTGAATTCTGTTCCTTAATGCCAGGTTAGAAAAGCCAGGGAAACTGAGGAAAGGCTGGAAGCAGGCAAGGGGCTGGAGGGAGGGGAACCCGGGGAGTGGTTCCGAGGGCTGGACGGGCACAGGGTCTTCTAGGCATTGGGAAGCAGAGAAAGGTTCAAGAAGCGGGGGGGGTGGAGAGAAAAGAGGCAAAGGGGAAACAGAACACGCGCCCCCTGCTGGGGACCTGGCCCCACAACCCAGGCATGTGCCCTGGCTGGGAATCGAACCAGCGACCTTTTGGTTCCCAGGCCGGCACTCGATCCCCTGGGACACACCAACCAGGACACCTGGAAGGCTTTTAAAATAAAGACTGGGCCCTGACCAGTCCTGGCTCATTTGGATGGGCATCATTCTGCAAAGTGAAAGGTCATTGGTTCGATTCCCAATCAGGACACATGCCTGGGTTGCAGGTTAAGTCCCCAGTATAGGTACGTTCGAGAAGCAACTGATTGATGTTTCTTTTCCTCTTTCTCCCAGCCTTCCTCTCTCTCTCTCTCTCTAAATAAATAAATAACCTTTAAAAAAGTAAATTAAAAAAATGAAGACTGGATCTCAGAATCAGCAGGTCTGGGGTGGGGCCAGAGAATGTACATTTCTGGTCCAGGGGCCGCACCTGGAGAACTTGCTACTCCAGAAGCTTCTGTCCCTTTTAGTCTTTCTGGGGCTCTTGCTCTCCTGTGGGACGCAAGCCACCGGTTCCCAGCCAGTGTCCAGGCCCCTGACCAAGTGGCCCCAGAGGGTCACCTCCAAGGCTCAGGAGGGTCCAACAGCCATTCCCAGACTGATGTCCTAATAAACAGAACTTGGACTTGCTTTGTACGTCAACACACCCTCCCCAGAGGGTGAGTCACGGATGCAGGCCTTTGTGCCTTTGCCAGAGACGTTCTTTCTCAGCTTCCTTTGCAGCCAAGTGTGGACATGGGAAAGATTCTTACATTTGGGCAAAAAGACAGAGCCTTAATTCGGGAAGAGCATTCGTCCCCGCTCAAAGTCTCTTTCTGCTTGAAAGACAGATGTGAAGTCTGATGACAATGGCCGGTGCTACAGCAGTGATTTTGTGCTCCTGAGGGGACCTAGTGACCTGGCACCACTGAGCTGCCAGCCATGCCCAGAATGGCCCCCTGCTAGAAAGTCTCGTTCCAGAAGAAGATTAAAAGCCTGGATTAAACACACACCCAACTCCATGACGCAGCTATTCCACTCCAAGGTATTTGCTTAACCAACATGAAAAGTATGTCCACAAAAACATTTGTACAAACATTTCCGTGGCAGCCTCGTTCACAACAGCCCCGAATTGGAAACAGCCCAGGTGACCATCCGCAGGTAAATGGATAAACAAACCGTGTTTTCTATTCCACACAATGGAACGCAGCTTAACACTAAACAAGAATACGCTGCTGATATGTGTAATGGGCATGGTGGATCTGAAATAAATCATCCTGAGCAATGGAAACCAGACCAGAGAGACCACCCATGGTGTGGTCCCCTTTAGACAGAGGTCTAGTGCAACTGATAGGAAAAAATCAGAGGTATCATTGCCTAAAGGGGTGGGAGGAGGGGTACTGACCGGTACTGACTAGGAAGGTCCATGAAGGAATCTTCTGGTATGATGGATCCAAGATTTTATTCATTTATTTTTTTAGAGAGAGAGGGAAAAGGAGGGAGAAAGAGAGGGAGAGAAACATCAATGTACAAGAGAAACATCCATCAGCCGCCTCTCGCTCACCTGCAACGGTGGGGGTGGGGGGGCGGGGGGGGGGGCCTGGCCTGCAACCCAGGCACGAGTCCTGATGGGAAATCGAACTGGCAACCTTTTGGTTTGTAGGACAGCGCCCAACCCACTGAGCCACAGCAGGCAAGAGCTGAAGGACGTGCTCTGTATCCAGATCTGGGCGACTGTTACACAGGAACTGGGTGTCAGATGCATTGAGCTGTACACTTAGGATCCACGTACTTTGTTGGACATAATTCCACAGTATCTCAGTAAAGCACAGCTAGTGTGCAAGAAAAAAGAAAGCCTGCGTGAATCCATTATTGTTGTTCGCAGCAAGCAGTTATGTGAGGTGATTTCCACGAACCCTGAATGGAGGACTAATGAGCTGTATTGATCCCGGGGGGAAACACGGGTTCCTGGGAGTCTCTGGTCACAAAATTTTCATCAACCGATCGATACAGCACCATGTTTTACGTGTGTTTCTGTTTAAAGACACGCTATTTAATATAAATTGATGATCCGTTCGTGCTGAGCTCACAGCCAACAGCGCTGTGATTCACACGTGAAGGAAGCTTCTGGAACACACACGGTTTCTCCGTGAGGCACGTCGGAGCCTTGCGGAGCAAAGGCAGGCCAGCCGGCACTTCCGTATTGTACTGGAGAGGCATTTCAAACGGCTAAGTCACCACCAAAAAAAAATCCATAAAAATGTGAAAACATGGCCCTTAATAAATGGAGACAAAGGTTCTTGTTCCCAGCGTAGGAGCTGGAAGAAAAAGGCCCAGAGCCACCTCTGACCTCAGCTGGAGGGCAGGCACGCAGGGACCCCCGGCAAGTGGTCGGGACGGCACTGAGATTGGGGGATTATGAAGAACTTGTAGCAGGTGGGTGAATTCACAAAAGGGGCCCATGCCAATCATGAGTGTTGGCTGTCTAGGGCTATGTCCATCCAGACCATAACAGATCTACCCTTTCCCCAGTGATTTCCCTTACAGGAATGAATCATACAGATACAGCCTGATACGTCTAGACTCGCAGGCTCAGAAGGTTTTCCGGTGATGGGTGTACCAGCAAGATGCTGGGAATGACCCACTGGCCACTAGTAGGAAACAGGTTAAATAAACGACAGCCCATCAGCTGGGGAATACTATGCAGCCATGAAAAAGGTGGCACGCAAACAGCCAAGCAGCATAAGAGATGCTCAACACCACCAGCCACCGCGGAAATGCATCACAACCACAGTGAGAGCCCACACACACCAGCAGCAGCGGACGAGGATGCGGGGGAACCAGGACCCTCCTGCGCTGTTGGCGGGAATGTAACAGGGCGTGGCTGCTGTGGAAAAGTCTGGGTCGTTCCTCAGACAGTTCAACACAGAGTGACCGTGTGACCCAGCCATTTCACTCCTACACAGACACCCACGAGAAATGAAAACGTCCGCACCAAAATTCATGCACACATGCGCATTCATAATGGCCAAAGGGCCCAAGTAACCCAAACGTCCATCAGTGGGCGTGGCACGTCCAAGCAGCGGGGTCGTTCTTCAGCCACACAGAGCAAGGCCGGGCTGAGGCACCACAGGGCGGACCCTGGACACGTGATGCTGCGTGCAAGAAGGTGGACACAACAGACCACGTATTGCACGGTTTTGTGCTATGAAGTGGCTGGAACAGACAAATCCATGGAGACCGAGGGCAGGCTGGTGGTTGCCAGGGGCTGCGGGGAGGGAGGAATTTGATGCGACGTCGTGACCACTGTCCCGCTGCAGAGCAACGCGCCACTCCCGTGTTTGTGCCGATGCTGGTGTAAGCAAGCCCACTGTGCTGCTGGTTGTATTACTGTGTTACAGGTACAAGAGCCATAGCAGTGCGCTGCACCCTTCAGGTTTGTGTAAACACAGCAGGTCCTCCAAGAACCCTGTTCCGTTACCACACGGATGAGATGCCAGGAGAACGGCTATTGATAGTAATGAGCCTGTGGTACAAATGGTTTCGCTGTATATGATCCCCAGTTTGATTCCCATTCAGGGCACATGCCTGGGTTGCGGGCCAGGGGGCGCGCGAGAGGCAACCACACATTGGTCTTTCTCCTTTCCTTTCTCTAAAAATAAATAAAATCTTTTTTAAAAAATGAGGATGTTCTTTGTATACTGATAGGGAAAGCTCTCCAAGACTATTGGCTTTATGAAAACAATGAAGAACAGCCTGTATTAAACGTTACCATCTGCTTAAAAAGAGTAGGAAAGAGATACAAGGATATAAAAAGTGCCTTTATGTATCTGAAGATCGCTGAGAAGAATCTGTGGGGCACTAAACACAGCTTAGTCGCACAGGGACCTCACAGACGGGAACAAAGGTGGGAGGGAAACATTTCACTGCG